CACAGCACTCTACTTAGGGGGACAGCTTGAGGCTCTGCCTCAAAAAAAAAAAAAAAATTAAAAAGTCAAGAAAACATGGTAAGGTTGAGGTTGAGAAATATTCTCTGTTGATCCAAGAACAGTTGGATCACCTGGTGCAATGGGTATTGTGTGAGAAGTAACATATTAAAAACTGTTATGAAATTTAGCTGTAGCAATTAAATTGTAGTTAGAATGAGACAAGTAGACATCAGCATGTATATATACATTAAAAGGAGCTCTGTGGAGACAAAGGGTCAAGATAGGGAGGATATATCAGTTTCAGAGCTGGCATGTAGCAGTACCAATGGCACAAGAGGTTTAGCTGGAATTGAAAGTTCAATTCTTTTTTTTTTTTGAGACAGAGCCTCAAGCTATCCCCCTGGGTAGAGTGCCATGGCATCACAGCTCACAGCAATCTCCAGCTGCTGGGCTCAAGCGAGTCTCCTGCCTCTGCCTCCCAAGTAGCTGGGACCACAGGCACCTGCCACAACGCCTGGCTATTTCTTGGTTGCAGCCGTCGTTGTTTGGCGGGCCCGGGCTGGATTTGAACCCGCCACCGTAGGTGTATGTGGCTGGCACCTTAGCCACTTGAGCCACAGGCGCCGAGCCTCAATTCTTATTTTCTTTTTGAGGTAGGAGGCCAGAGGGGGATCTACAAAGGAGTCACATGTAGTTGATTCCTATCCTGGGATAGCTCTAATTTTAACAAGCTCCTGTTTAATTCCAATGAACAGCCAGATTAGGTGACTAATCTAAAAATCAACAACTTTAACTTTTGGCCTCAAAAGATGGCAAAATAACAATCAACACAGTGCTGGTCGCTAGAAATAGTAATCTAACACTGTAAAACACAGCAAGGAAAGCTGAAGGAAACTCCATAGAAGATGGAACATTGTCTTTTGAATGGAGAGGTGAAGACTGTAAGATTATGTAATTCCTAAAATCTAGAGATTTCATTAAGTTTCTAAGTTTTTCTCTTTTGAAACAGGATCTTGCTATGTTGCCTAGGATAGTTTTGATCTTCTGGGCTCAAGCTATCCTTGTTTCAGCTTTCTGAGAGGCTGGAACTACAGGCCCATGGCACCTTTCTTGGCTCAAATGATAATTTTGTACCCTTTTGGTTTTTAAAATAATTTTCCTACTTAAAATTTCCAATTTTGATGTTATAGGAAATATAAATCTATCTCATTGTTATTCACCCAAACATACAAGCTTTGGGAAAAATAGTGAAGACTTAATAATAGTAATAGCTTAATCTAAAAACAGAATTCTATATTCTAGTTATGCTTTTCTGTATGGCTAAGGTTACACACTGTTTAGCACCAAATAAGAACCTTAACAAAGGTTTATACAAAATATTCAGGAACATCTAGGAGGCATTTTAACAAGCCTGCAAGCAGAAAGATCCAACCGTGGAGGTAGAAATGGTGGAAAACCAGGAGGCCACGGTAAAGAAAAGTCTAAACTTTTTGCAGAAGTGGAAGTTCTTTCCTAATCCTAAATGAGGTTAGCTTCCAAAGTTAATGGGCACTTTGTTGAACAGGTGGAGAAGAACAGGTAAATACGAAAAAGCCTTCGGATACCCCAGTGAGGATCTTGGGGTGGACATCAAAGGGAGAGCTGGAATGCTTGGGAAGCAAGAAAAGAGGGCACATGGGCAAAAAGGGAGTAGAGTTACCAAAACCCACTTATTCCTTTTTAGCCTGGGCACCCTGCTTCCTCCTCTGAAATTAGATGAAAAGGGTTGGTTTATGGAGGATATCTGGCTTTATCACCCCACTTTAGAAAAACTGAAGTAGGGATGAAGGATTAGCCATTTTCAGTAATTGTAACCATAGCCACCATGAAGGGTTCCGATTTCCAGGAATGATGAAATGCCCACTCCTGCATCTGTGTTCTGAACTTTGTTACAGCAGAGAAACTTCCTCCATAGTCACTTACCTTGAAGTCTTGTGCAATCTTAGTTTTTGTATCTCCAATTATATTAAAACTACTTTCCTAAGTATCATCAATGACCCTATGCTAAAACCTGTGCTAAAAGTATGCTTTTCTTGGCCTCTTCACCTCTCCTGGACTACATACTCTTCCTTAAAATTATCTTCTTTGGCTTTATTCAACACTACAAGTTCTTCTGGACTTCTATTTTTATTTAGGAAGGATTATAACATTTTCCAACCATATATTAGTATAAAGCCTTTCACACCCTCTGTTTCTTGCTTATACAATAACTGAGGCAAGAATTCGGTATAGATCTTTTCCAAAATTAAATTTATAAAGTAATTTTAAAAAAATGAGATCACCTACTGTTTTGCACCTTTGTCACTGCCTGTGTCTTACAACCTTTTCCATATTGGTTAATGTAGATCAACATTCCTACCACTGTGTAATATTTTGTATTATAGATATAGCACAGTTTAGCCATTCTACTGATATTCAAATTTCTAATTATCTTTACAAAATGCTATGATGACTATTACAGTACATACATCTGAGTAAGTCATGCTGAAGACCTACAACCATATAGTTGATTCATGAGTAATATATATTTTAACAGGATTAGCGCCATTAGGAGTTATGTTAGCTTCATATTTGGGAACACTCCATCTTTCTCTATGCTTTTTCCCTGGTGACGTGTGGAGGACAGACTACCTCAGGACATTTTTTTTCCTTTTTGTTTTTTTTTTTTTGAGACGGCGCCTCAAGCTATCCCCCTGGGTAGAGCGCTATGGCCTCACAGCTCACAGCAACCTCCAGCTCCTGGGCTCAAGCGAGTCTCCAGCCTCAGCCTCCCAAGTAGCTGGGACCACAGGCGCCCACCACAGCGCCGGCCTTTTTTTTTTTTTTTTTTTTTGGTTGCAGCCATCATTGTTGTTTGGCGGGCCCAGGCTGGGGATTCAAACCCGCCACCTTAGGTGTATGTGGCTGGCGCCTTAGCTGATTGAGCCACAGGCGCCGAGCCTCCTTTTTGTTTTTGAGACAAAGTCTCACTCTGTTGCCTGGGCTTGAGTGTAACAGCATCATCATAGATCACTGCAACCTCAAACTCCTGGGGTCAGGGAATCCTTCCACCTTAGCCTCTAGAGTAGCTGGGACTACAGGCACATGCCACCATGCCTGGCTAACTTTTTTCTATTTTTTGTAGAGATGGGGTCTTCCTCTTGCTCAGGCTGGTCTCCACCCCTGGGCACAAGCAATCCTCCATCTTGGCCTCTCAGTGCTAGGATTATAGTATGAGTCACCATGGCTGGCCAGGACATTCTTTTATGATTATCAACTTATTAAGGTTTTCCAACTCTTGGATCAATTTTTTGAAATCTGTATTTTCCAAGTCAATTTTGAGATTGTTTAGTAAAAGTTGATTATCCTAGACCTGAAAATCCAAGATCCTAAATGCTTCAAGATGTGAACCTTTTTGAGTGCCGATATGCCACAAGTAGAAAATTCTACACATTAAGTGTACTTAATAAAACTTTGTTTCATGCACAAAATAATTTAAAATACTGCATAAAATTACCTTCAGGCTATGCATATAAGGTATATATAAAACAAATGAATTTTATGCATAGACCTGGGTCCAGTCCAATCCATAAGTTATCTATTACGTATATGTAAACATTGCAAAATACAAAAAAAATCTGAAATTTGAAACACTTCTGGTTCCAATCATTTCAGATAAGGTATACTTAACCTGTATAAGATTACACAAAATAATTCACTTCTTATTTTTCAAAGTCTCCTTCATATCTAGGTTCTCCTTGTTTCCAACACTTTTTTTATCTCCTTTTCTTCCTCAGATTTGCTGAGTGTCTACTTAATGTTCCTTTCAAACACCAACTATTACCATGACCAATTTTATTTTCTATTTCTTAATTTTAAATTCTTTTAAAGTTTATTTTGGAAGATTTTACTTTTTCTGCTTATCTGCTACCTGTTTCTCTGTTTCCTTTTCTGATGCTTCCTGCCTAAGTGTATACTTTAAGGATTTTTTATGTGCTGCCTCATTCCCTGAGCTTATCTACTCCATACTGCATAGCAAAAAATAAAATCTTTACCATTATTATATGAGTGTAAGTGGCTACAAAGACTGTGTTAATGTGGAGCCAGTCATAGTGGGTTCCAATTTCTTAACTCCTACTTATGTAATCGTGGTCAAATCTGAGCTGTTTCTTCATCTGTAAAAAAAAAAAAAAAAATTAACAATACAGGTTAAGTTTGAAATTATTTGCAAATCACTTAGCACAGAAACCGGTCTACATTAAAAACTCAATAAATGTCTGGTAGACAGAGGGCCTCATTGCCTCATTTCTAAAAAGGAGGGGATTGAGATGTCTAATCCTAAATTCTCTTCTAACAGTTAAAAATTTTATTTTCAGCTATTCTAGATGTTAGGAATTCCAAGATGAATAAGATACAGTCCCTACTTTCCAGTAGCTCAGAGTCCTGGGCAGGTGGGGGTGGAGAAAAATTGTTAGATAATTACAATACAATAACTAATCTAATAAAGGCTGTGGAAATTCAGAGACTTTGAGGAACATGTCTAGCAAAATTAAGACCTAGGTTGGAATCCTTTCAGGTGTATCCTCAGGCAACTTTTTTGTGCCTTATTTCACTATCTGTATAAAGGAAAAGTTAATACTTATTCTGGCAAGTTATAATGAGAACTAAATAAGAAAACTAATATAAAGCACTTAGTACAGTTACAGATTTATGAACTTAATAAATGGTAGTAATTAATATTACAGAAGGCCATGGAAGTTAATTTACTGTACCTCAAGAGAGAGGGAGGGTCAAGAAAATTTCCCAAATGTGTTTACAGAACAAAAATAGGAGGAGGGAATGGTTCCTGCTAAGAGAAACAGCATACACAAAGGCAGAGATATGAAAAAGTATGGTATGTTTCCAGGACCTCACTTCATTATTTCTTAAGGGAAAAGATAATACATGGCAAGGCAACATGGACAAAAGGGGCCGTACGGGAAATGAAGGTGGGTGATGCCCTTGCAGAGTAAGGAATTCTTACCAATTTATGTATTCTCAGCTTCTAGTACAAAACCTGACTCATGTTTGCAACATATAGCGAGTGGAAGAATTCATTCATATTGTTAAGCAATATTGTTGAAATGAAAAGATTTGGGCCAAACTGCTTAAAGTACACATGTTAGAGTGAAAAGTACCTTGGACTGTGAGTCAAGAGCAGTCAAGAGCAGTCTTTTGACTGGTGGCCTGTACTTTTTGATAACTAGGTTTACAACTTACCTGCTACTTGGCCTCACTGATATCTTGAGCCTATAAAACGGGATGACACCTAACAAGCAATTATCAAAGAGCCTGGCACTAGTACTCAATAATGACAGCGGCTACAGTTGCTAACTTCTCCTTTAGGTCTTTTTACCACACTTGTGAAATGACGGGGTAGGAACAGATTTTCTTTCATCCAGTACTGAAAAAGTATACTAGGTTTGCTCAAGGACGAAAAGGCCCCGCCCGGCCCGCGCCACACAGGTCACCTACGCAGACTGCAGTCCTGAGGCCTCCACTTGGGTCGCTGACAGATGGAGGGCGCGATCGATGACTGGCCATTCCAGAGACGGGCCTAGGTAGGTTCGTGTGAGACCGAGAAGAATTTCACCGAAAACCAGTTCACACCAGCGCCCAGTATCTCTAGAGGGGAAAGCTGGAAAAAGGTGAAAAGAAGGAAGCCGGAACTGACGTGAGACTGGAGGAACAGGAAATGACCCCAGCACGCCGGAAGTTTACTGGTTTCCAAGGTGACGGCTCCTCCGCCCCTCCGGCCAGGTGGCAGGAGTCGGGAGGCTGGAAAGCGACTCCGATAGGGTTTCTGCTGAAGGCGGCGGCCGCCACAGCAGCTCGCGGCAAGGCGCAAACGAAGACGGCGGCCGCCGCACTGGCCACCCCGTGTGGACGGTAAACGGCCGAGATGGCCATCGCGACGCCGAGTCAACGGAAAGGGTTAGCCAAGACGGGGAAAGAGAACGTGAAGACGGCGACCGCTGCTCCAAATTCCCTGCGGGAAGAGTAAGCGAAGACGCCGGTTTCTCCCACAGTGACTCGAGAAGGGTCAGTGAAGACCTAGGCCACCACTGCAGTGTCTCTCGGGAGAGAGTCAGGGGCGACATTGGCCACTGTCACAGCAGCTCTTGGGAGAGAGTAAGGGGAGATCGCGGCTTCCGCAGCAGTGACGTGAATTTAAGTAGAATCGGTAGCAACCAAACTGGCGACTCCGGGGGAACAGTCAGAGAAAATCGGGGCCTCTGCCTCAGTGATACTTGGGAGGAAGTCGGAGAAGTCTGGGGCCCCGGAACCAGTGGCTGTGGGGAGAGAGTAAGTGACGACCGCAGTCGCCGCCTCAGGGGCTTTTGGGAGGGAGCAAGCGTCGACCGCGGCCACAGCCTCAGTTCTTGGGAGGGAGTAAGTGAAGACTGCGGCTACGCAGCTAGCAACTCCTCCGGAGTGAGCGTCGGTGAAGATTCCGGCCGCCGTCTCAGTGGCTTCTGGGAGAGAGTAAGTGTAGACGAAGCTTCCCGCTTCAGGACCTCTTTGGAGAGAGCAAGGGAGCACCTTGGCTTCTGTCCTAGCGACGACCCGGAAGAGGGCCATTACCGCCCCGAGGGATGGGTGAGAGCAAGTGAAGACCGCCGAAGCAGCAGGGGCCTGGGCTCAACTCCTCCCCAGAGACGGAGAGGCTGCACCATGCCCGGGGTGGCCAATTCAGGCCCCTCCACTTCTAGGGAGGCTGCAAACCCGTGTGAGTCAGACTATTTTATTGGCCCGTATCTCTGCCACACTGCTTTTCTCACTTCAGGCGGCAGCAGTCTCAGCCATTTCTGGCATTTCCCTTTCTCAGTTGTAATTTCTCCTTAAAATGCCTTAATTTTCATAGCCTGGACATGCACCACATATGGATCAGTGCAGTAGGCCTCGTTCCTTATGTTGACCGCCTCTGTATGTTGACTAGTTTGTTATAGACCCTTGGATGGTCAGCGTACAGGGGTTCTACTGTACATAAGCAGTAGTAAAAGGCTGCCCAAGTTATTTGCCAGAAGTGTTGGTGAGTTGTTTTCAAAACAACTTGAGTTTTGCAGTCGTACCTTTTTCTGGGTTGTTTTGTTTAGGGAATGTTCCTGCTGAACTATTTACTCCTTCTTTCTCTTCTAGTAACTGTGTTCATGCTTAGATACCTTTATTTGTCTTTGGTTCACAATACGTGTTTTTTTTTTTTTGAGACAGAGCCTCAAGCTATTCCCCTGGGTAGAGTTCTGTGGCATCACAGCTCACAGCAACCTCCAACTCCTGGGCTCAAGCGAGTCTCCCACCTCTGCCCCTCTCATGCCTCCCAAGTAGCTGGGACCATGTCCAGGCTGGATTCAAACCCACCATCTTAGGTGTATGTGGCTGGCGCCTTAGCCACTTGAGCCACAGGCGCTGAGCCACAATACATGTTAAGATGTTTCACATTATGGTGGGCCTGAAGAGGTATTCTAGATGTTTAGAACATTAAGTTATAAATTATAAAATATAAAACATTAAGAGCATATGAATTAAAGATTATGACTTTGGCTGGGCAAGGTGGCCCATAATCTTACCACTTAATCTTACCCATAATCTTACCAAGGTGGCCGAGGTGGGTGGATTGCTTGAGCTCAGGAATGCAAGACCAGCCTGAGCAAGAGTGAGACCCTGTCTCTACTAAACAGAAAAATTAGGTGAGAGTTGTGGCGGGTGCCTATAGTGCCAGCTACTTAGGAGTCTGAAGCAAGAGGATCTCTTGAGCCCAAGAGTTTGAGGTTGCTGTGAGCTATGATCTTGCCTGGCACTCTTCCTAATTATGACCTGTCACTGCTTTCTTTTTTTGTTTTTTGTTTTTTGAGACAGAGTCTCAGTATGTCGCCCTCAGTAGAGTGCCATGGTGTCACAGCTCATAGCAACCGCAAACTCTTGAGCTTAAGCGATTCTCTTGCCTCAGCCTCTCAAGTAGCTGGAACTACAGGCACTGCCACAATGCCAATGTATTTTTTTGTTGTAGTTGTCATTGTTGTTTAGCTGGCCAGGGCTGGGTTTGAACCTGCCAGCCCTGGTGTATATGGCCGGCACCCTAACCACTGAGCTATGGGCGCCAAGCCTATTACTGCTTTCTTTGTGTAAGACATATGAGTTAGAAAAATAAAAATATTGATAAAATATGGCAGCTAAGGCTCTGGTAAAATCTTTTTCACTAGGGAGGCCTTTATTATGGAGAACACACTAGGCGTGTTTTGAAATGGTTTCTTTGTTCCTCTCCCTGCCAAGGACATGAGGTGACTTTTCTTGGCTTCATAGTGATAATCTGGTGGGATTTCTGAAGATAAAAAAAAAAATACAAAAGTATAAGGATTTCCTAAGACTGTGGCTCTTAGACGTTACTCATTATTAGTTTCTCATTATTATGTTAGTATATATTCCGCCCCTCGCAAGTCATCAAAATGCCCGTTTAACTCCTCCTACCAGTTTGTAGTTCCAGCAAGTTCTGCTCCAGATAAGCTGAACTTGACTATATTTCTCTGTATTTGCCCAGAGACCTCCTTTCTCTGATTGGTCCAAGAAAAGTTGTTGATTTTCAGTTTATTCATTTTTTTCCTTATTAGGGCAAGAAAACTTCTATGCTCTTTCCATGTCCCAGATGAAACTGGAAATCTGATTAAGATAAAGACATCATTGTAGTAGATTATTTAGAAAGCCAAAGTAATTTGTGCTTTCTATTGGATCATTGTTTCAGTTTATTTTTCTTTCACAGTTTTGTAGTACATTTTAAGTAATTTGATTTTTTTCTTATATAAAGAGAAAGCTGGAAATTTTGATTTTTCAGTAGGTACCAGGAGGAAGGTGCATTTCAGCAGCATACATGATGCAGTAAGAGCTGGAGATGTAAAGCAGCTTTCAGAAATAGTGGAACGTGGAGCCAGTATTAATGAAGTCGATGTTCTTCATAAATTTACGCCTTTACATTGGGCAGCACATTCTGGAAGTTTGGAGGTAAGAAGCTAGACATATTATTAAATTGTGAGGTAACTGCTGTAGCAGTTTTTCAAATTTAGTGAACAGGGCTGAGACTTTATGCTAGGTACTGCAGATAGCTTTTTTTTAGTCTAATTCAGTTTAATATGTAGATATTCTGCTTTGCTAGGGCTTTATACCAAATTTCCCTAAAACTTTGTGACATGAAATAAGTGTTTATTTATACTCATGAGTGAATCAGGAATTTGGATCCCCAAGTCATGACATTTGGGAGTTCAGCTGGAAGATTCAAAAGCTGGCGTTAGAACGTTAGAATCTTCTGAATGCTTGCTCACTCACAAATCTGATGGTTGACTCTGGTTATGAACTGGGCATGTTAATGCCTTTCCATGTGGGCTTGTTTGTGAGGTCTTTCCACATGGAATAGCTTATATTTCCTCACAATATAGTGGGTGGGTTCCAGAGGATAGAGGATAACTTATAGAGAATAACATAATGAATACTTATCCTGAAATTTTTGCTATAATTGCTTCAGAGTTTTAGAAAAGAGATGGCATGTTTCAGGTCAAAGTTCCTGAATATCCTTTTCAGGTACCATTCCTGTCTTTCCAACTCTAGAGATAACTTTACCTGATTTTGGTGTTTATTATTCCCATCTATGCTTTACATTATCATTACATATGATTATGTAATTATTTTGAATGACATGCTTGATATGAATGGCATCTCATTGTCTGTATCATTCTGGAGCTTGCTTTTTTGTTCAAAATGATTTTGAGCTTTAACCATGTGGTTACATACATGTACTCATTTCCTTTAGCGGTGTTGTAATAGGCTATTCTTAGACTACTATCAGAATGTATCTGTTTTTCTACTCATGGATATTTAGTTGATTTTAATTTGTAAGTATTTACAAACTGCTTAGTGAATACTTTTATGCAGGCCTTTTTATTCCTGGGCTGTGTATAGGTCAACTGGATTTTTTTCTCATGATTCAGGGTTGTGTAGGGGCTACCTTATTTTAGCTGCTACATTTTCCCAGCTCGTAGGCCACAGCAGGTCTATTCACAGTGTACTTTCTCTTTTGCACTTCTGCCACATACACAATTTTCTATGCATATAGCTGTGGTATGTGATTTCTTTTTTGTTTGGACTTCTTTGCTTTTTGTAACCAAATTTGGTTCAGAGAATCTTCCTCTGTCGGTTTGTGCCTCATTTGTACTGTTGTAAGCATGGAATTTTCACTTTGGCCTTTTAGTGGATCCTTCTTACATGGGAGAAATAAATATCTTGATGGCTCTCCATGAGCATGTAGCTCTGGGTAAATGTTCTCTCTGCTCTTCCCTGCCACCTCCCAGTTTGATCTGCTGTTTGGCATCTTATTAATCTGTTTTGTGGTTTGACTTTACAGATGTTTCCCAGTTTCATCAAAGTTGGAGTTTTCTTTTTGTTTTTCTGTCTCTTTGTTTTTGGGTGGTTTTAGAGAGATTGGAAAATACTGATTTTACTCTGCCATATCCAAATAGGACATCTTGATCTGCCATTTATTTCATCCCTTTCCTGGTACCCTTTCAGCCTCTGTAATTACTCTCACTTGTCTTCTTTGGTTAACTTTCCCTTTCTACTCCATAAATACAGGTAATCTTTACATTTCTGCCATTGATCCTCTCTTTCCTACTTTACACTCTCTCTTTTTTATTTTTCTTTTTGGAGACAGAGTCTCAAGCTGTTGCCCTGGGTAGAGTGGAGTGGCATCACAGCTCACAGCAACCTCAAACTCACGGGCTTAAGTGATTCTTTTGCCTCAGCCTCCCAAGTGGCTGGGACTAGAGGTGCCCACCACAATGCCTGGCTATTTTTTTTTTGATGTAGTTGTTATTATTGTTTTAGGTGGCCCGGGCTGGGTTTGAACCCTCTAGCTTGGTGTATGTGGCTGGCGCCCTACCCACTGAGCTTTGGGCACCACCCTTTATACCCTCTCTTCAGGCATTCTTTTGGATTTCCTTAATTTTTTTACTTTTACATAATACATTTATTTGCCTTCTTTCCGGAATTTTGGATTATGCATCAGTTACTTGATCAATAGCTAATGCATATCTGACTCACTTCTCAAGTTTAATTGGCCTAAAACTAAAACCATCATTCTTTTCCTTCTATCTCTTTTTTTTTTGCAGTTTTTGGCTGGGGCTGGGTTTGAACCCGCCACCTCTGGCATATGGGGCCGGCGCCCTACTCCTTTGAGCCACAGGCACTGCCCTTCCCTCTCTTTTATAATTTTCAAGGGCAATAACCTTTGAATAATTATTGAATTATCTCAATATTTCACAAAAGCAAAACCACATTATCAACATTTTCTCTAGGTGAAGGTGCATTTCATTGATATGCATTGATGTAGTGAGACCTTATCACTAGGTCAGTTGATTCTGTTCCGTATTTGTCTCCTGAATTTGTCCTCTCTATCCCCACAGCCATTATGTCAGATCTAATTGATTTCCTTCTTTTTTGTCTTGTCCACCTTTAGTTCATATTTTGTGTACAAGGTTATCTCTATTAAACTAAAATTTATATCACTTAAAATCTTCCCTAAAACCCTCTAGTGACTCTGTCCCCTAAAGGATAAAGTTCAAGTCATTTAACATGATAGACTTCTCTCTCCAACCTCATCCCCATCATAATTGTTTTATGCTGTAGTACTGGTGACTATCATTTCCTAAACTGGTCTACTATTTAATATTGTTGTAGACTTTGCACATGCTCTTCTATCTACCTGGTCTCAGCCCTTCCTGTTATAACCGTGGTTGAAACCCAGGTCAGGCATCACTAACTTGGTAAAGCGTATATATTTCCTCTCTCAATATTTCCTAACTAGCTACTGACTCCTAGTTTTACCCTCACATCTTACACATTTTTTTTCTCAGTAGCTTTAGGGGTAAAAATTTCATACTCATCATCTGAGTGGTGAACATTGTATCTAACATGTTGTATTGCATTCCCCACTCCCTCTCCTACCCTCCTACCCCTACATCTCTACTGTTCATTGTGCTTTCCATGTAAGTGTGTGGGTGGTGTGTATCTGTGTGTGTTGGGGGCAGATGGAGGGGACAATGTGGTAGAAGTCTGAATAAGCCTAGGACCCAGTTCAGGGACACCAGAAAACATAAAAAAAGATCCTATATGACTCTATATGTCCCTCCATCCCCATAGCTCAGCTCCCACTTACAAGTGAGAACATGTGGTTAAATTTTATATATTAAAAATAATTTCTTTTTTTTTTTTTTTTTT